GAAGATCCCAGCCTGAGTCTGGTCTCAGGCAAAAACTGGAGACCCTATCCAAAAAATAATTAGAGCAAAAAAGGACTGGGGAGAGGTTCAAGTAGTAGAGCACCTGCCTAACAAGTGCGAGGCCCTGAGTTCAAACCCCAGTGCTGCAAAAAAAAACAAAACAACAACAACAACAAAAATCCAGAAAAACAAACCCAATTTACTTATTGAGTATCTGTTTATGGATATAACAGCAAATATGCAGATGCCATCCCTGCCTTTATGGATCATAGGAGGTGAAATATATGGTCACCTATCAGTGGTTTAACTAATCCAAACTCCCCAGTAGCAAGTGACTCCCTTACAGCAGGAATTTAGACTGAGTTACTTTTCTGTAGTTTCTCCTTCTTTTTGAGTTCAGGGTAAACAGCCATTGTATGACTTGGAGGTAAATACCTAACCAGATATGAGAGAATCACAGTATGCTGTGCCAATTACACCTGCTCTTAATTTCAGTGCATTTCATGTAGGGATTATGGAATGCCCTTTCAGTAGGTTGTTTCCTTTCCCTTCTTTGGTAAAAACTTTCTTTTCTTTCTAGCATTTATTAGAGTGTTTATTTTCAGGTAGATTTTGCCTGGTATTGTTTTATGCCCAACAAGCTTGTAATAAGTCTAGCGTGTGTGTGTGTGTGTGTGTGTGTGTGTGTGTGTGTATGTGTGTGTGTGTGTGTGTGTGTGTGTGTGTATTGGTGGCACTGGGGATTGAACTTGGGGCTCTACCACTTGAGCCACTCTGCCCTTTTTGCATTGGTTATTTTTCAGATAAGGTTTTACACCCAGACCAACCTAGACCATGATCCTCGTATTTGTGCTTCCCCATATAGCTGGGATGACAGGTGCACCACCGTGTGCAATCATTGGTCGAGATAGGGTCTTGTGAACTTTTTGGCCAAGGCAAGCCTGTACTCATGATCCATCTGATCTTTACTTCCAAAAGTTCTAGTATTTTAAAAAAATTGACTTAATATCAAACAGTCTAATATGGAGGCTTTAAAAATCTTTTAATTGTGTTTTAATTGTGAAGAGTTTCAAACTAACACAAAAGGAGACTTAATTATGTAATGAATCACTGACCCTCCACCCAGCCCCATGGCCCTTAGTCCTAGCCAGTCCTGCCTCATCTACACCCCCATCCACTTCCTTCACTTTGCATAAATAACTATGTCAAACATATTTCAGCGTGTTTCTCTCAAGGATAAAGACTGTTTCTTAATGTTATCACAATACATTTTTCATGCCTAAAATTAAGACTTATCATAGAGACATTTAAAATGTTACAAGAGGAGAAAAATTCAGCCACAAGCCTTGCTAGACATTACAGCTTTTTTTTTTCTCCTGTGTTCTACAGTTTTTGACCACAAGCACACTGACATTTTTAAAAAGTGGTAGTGGTCTCTGCTCTTTTGGAATTTTTCTGGGTATCATTTTGGGATTGAGGCAAGCATCAGCTACCTGTCCCTCCGTCAACTGGGCCGTATTTACGAACACTGGGAGATTCCCCAGACCCTCTTCCAGCTTCTAAAGCCCCTTACTCCTTCAGCAAATATTTATTGACAAAGTCATTGCATGTCCATCCTGTTGGATGCTGGGGAATGGCGGGGAGGGAAGAAGACAAACAAGGCCTAGACTTTTGGAGCTGACCAGGGAGCAGGCCTTACACATATAAGGATGCCTACAGTCACTCTGTCATGGCTGTGATCATGTGGAAACCTGACAAGAGGAGGCCTAAGTGGTTGGGGAATGTATTCTGGAAGGAGGAACATCTCAGTCCAGCAGTGGCAGAGGAGGGAAGAGAGAAGAATTTGTGTAAATAGCCTAATAATAGAGGCCAAAAGGAGATTTTCTGATAAAAGAACAGAAGGGAAGCCGTGAGGCTCCCTTGGGTGGGATGGGTTGAGGTGGGGTAGAGAAAAGCCCTGGTCCTGGACCTGCCTCTTCCAAATGGCTCAGGTACCTGAGGGCCAGGCTGGTGGTTTTCCTACCCCATGAACCTCTGGAGTGCAATGTGGAGATGTAAGCCCAGTTCCCCTGCTGATTCTTAGCAGTTAGTTTGTAGGCATAGTAATCAAGGAAGTTGCTTAGACTTGGAAATACCCAGATAGGAACTTGCAATCTGCCACCCTGAAAGATAATAATATTTACACAGTAGGGTTATTGTAAGGATTAAAGAAAATGTTGTATAATAAAATCACTAGACAGCAAATATTTTTCTCCTTCTCTTGCTTAATAAGTATTTTTTTCTTCCCTTTCCTTGGCATGGTCCAACAGCTCGTCTGTCTTCTCCCTGTGGAGCAGAAGGGCTAGTGGACCTGCCTCTGCCTGCCCTTTCCTGGAGGAGGTCTTTTATGTAGACCCTGACCTTTTAATAAGTTTTAGTTTCTTTTTCTTCTTCTTCTTCTTCTTTTTTTTTTTTTTGAGTACTTGGTTTTGAACTCATGGCCTCACTCTTGCTAGGCAGGTACTCTACCACTGAGCCATTCCCCCTAGCCTTTTTTGCTTTAAGTTATTTTTCTGATAGAGTCTCATGATTTTGCCTGGGGCCTGGCCTCTGACAGTGATCCTCCTACCTCTGCCTCCCAAACAGCTGGGATTAAAGGTGCCTGACTCTTCTTGAAAATTCAAATAAAAACGATCAATTCAGCCAGACGCTGGTGGCTCATGTTTGTAATCCTAGCTGCTAAGGAGGTGGAGATGCGGTTCGAAGCCAGCTCAACCAAATAGTAAGTGATTTCCTATCTTGGAAAAAAATCACAATAAAGAGGCAGTGGAGTGGCTCAAGGTATAGGTCCTGAGTTCAAACTCCAGTACTGTAAAAACAAAACAAAACAAAAACGATCAATAATAATGCTTGGATTTTTCTTTGCCAAAAAAAATCACAGTACAAAAGAGCATTAAGGAAAAAGTGACATCTCATTTTAATGAGGAAATTGTCACTAAAGTTTGGATTACATCTTTCTAGATGTTTTACACAATTATTAAAACAAAAAAATGAGAATATGAATTTATTACTTTTCATTCAGCATGTCTTAGACACTTTTCCATGCCCATAAACTTTTAGACCCAGGACCTCTCAGGCAGTCTTCCATGACCATTTGTCCTGATGTCATTTGAATTTTCCTCTCTCTGTGGTGGCCCTCATTTCCTCACTTGTGCTAGAGCAACCTGAGTTTTCCTAACAGCTTGTCCACCTCTGAGCGCCTTTGCTTTGTATAAGCCTGCATGGTCACCAGCTTGTTTTGCAGGAACTGGGTGGAGTCCAGGCTGAAAGAACATGCTTTCATTTCCTGGTATATGGGGAGTTTCATTAGCTCTTTTCCTCTTAATTACATGACTAGTAAATTGGGGATATCTTAATGCCAGCTTGTTACTCCACCGTGAACCATTTTATAGCCCAGTCACCCAAACTTATGGACAGATTTCAGGAGTAACAACAGTGTCTATGGGAACTAGGTACAAGGGTCATACATGCAAGCGGAAGCAAACACAGTGTCCCAGACCCTTGCATCCATTTTCTCCCAACTGTGTGCAGAGGGTAGGAAGCAAGGGATAGGTTTTCTTCCTTTTAAAAGGGCTCTTATAAAACACATTCAAACAAGTAATGCAAAAGAGAACAAATGAAAACGAAAAGCCACTCTGCTCTCCACCATCCCTGTCTGACCTCACTGCTCCCTTCTCAGAGTTGGCCATTATTAGACATTTGTCACGTATCTTTCTAGGCTTCGTTCTGATTTTACAAACTTTAAATGGGATCACAGAGTACTTATTGTTCTGTGAAAATGATTTTTAAAATACGAATTACAGTTCAGCATGTCAAAGATAGTCTGTGAAAGAACTTATGCAAAGGTAGTTGAGCAGTTAGTAGGAAGCAGAATTGCCCTGATGGGGTTTGAGCTTCGTGCTGTGTATCGTCCAGTACCAGGATCAGCCCCAGGGAAAGCTGGGAGGAGGCCAGGTTGTGTATGAAGTCCCAGTCCTTGGTCTTAGTTTTTTCCTGACCTCTGTCCCCTGCATGGTGTGGAGGCTCGTACCCTGACCCTCTACATCTGACGACCCTGTAGTATGCAAAGATATGTTTAGTGTCATAGGATTGGCTTGAACCTACACGTGTGGCCATAAGCAAGTTATTTACCCTTCCTGAACTTCAGTTTTCTCAGCTATGAAGTAGAGAAGACAACTGTTATGTCATGGAGTGTTTGTGAACTTGAATGTGGAAGGAATGTTTCTGCCTGGCAAGCTTTCATTTCCCCTTTCCTGCTTCCTGAGCCTTTCTTTTATCCAACACACGTGCATTAAGACTTGGACAGGTTAACCTTTCTCAAGGGCATTTGCATTTCAACAATGATGCAAGCTTTAATTGTTCTCCAATTAAAGGAATTAAGGGCCAGCTGACAGGAGTAGGAAGATTCTTCTGGGCTGGAGTCACACCGCCTCTGCGTGGCTTTTCAGAAATATTTCATGAATGGACAACAGATTGTGTACTAACCCACCTCATTTTCTCAGAACTTGGTCCTAGGGTCAGCCTACCCTCACAGGACAATTGGTTGCCAGATGACTGCCAATCTCAACTTTCTGCATTTCAGGTCACATATTCAGTGATGAGGTTGAAGTCATCAAACGAACTGGTATAAGGGTAAAAAAAAGTGTCACCATGAATGTAATGTTTCAAGCACCTGCTGTTGTCATGACACAAATCTGTCAGGCACCTTGTGAATATTAGGAAAGTGTGCCCCCTCCAGGAAGGTGGACCCCTATAGGTGTACCATGAAGATGGAAGTTGGCAAAAGGTGGTCTCTTCCTCCAAGGTAAGGCCACCTGCCAACAGAGGCCAGGCTATGTTTCTGTCACCGCTGTCCTTGCTGCCAGGCATCTGGTGCTGGGCAGATCATATAAAAGCCATTATTATAGCTGTTTTCAAGACGCCTAAAGACTTATTATTTCTTTTCTTGTACATTTTTTTAGCGTCTAGAACTGACCAATGGAGAGCCTACCAGGAAACTTCCTCAGGGTGTTGTTTATGGTGTGGTGCGGAGATCCGACCAAAATCAGCAGAAAGAAATGGTGGTGTATGGATGGTCCACCAACCAGCTGAAAGAAGAGATGAACTATATCAAAGACGTGAGCCACTTATGATTTTTATGGCCTGTATTCCTTTGTAGTTTGTAAAATGGTGGAGTTGGAAGCACTGATGAGAATATACTAAGGTGTTTTGAAAGAATTCTTAGCATTAATTTGGACGGACATGTTTCTACATGTCTTCGTGGCAATGTAAAAGTACAGATGCAATTCTGCAGCAGAGGATAGGATGTGCTTCTGTGGGCTTCCTGTTAGTGAGTAGGAATGTCACTATCACAGGTGAGGGTCTGAGGAGATGTCCTTTTAAACTGGGGATCTTCCTCTCAGAGTTTTTATTCAGGTCCTGGACTTTAATAGCAGAGTAAGAATTTCCCAGCAAGTCACAAAGGAAAGAAAACAGGAAGAGCTTTATTGAGCAAGAAAGCAACAAGGAAAGGCACTCACTAATAGGTAGACCATAGTGCTCTGAGGAAGATACACTATGCTAGCTTGATATCGGGTATTTGTGGTAAAAACGTAGGATAGGGGATTTTGGTTAAATTTGCCTTATGATAAGTGCTCCCCTTTGTTATGGATAACTGGTATGTGTTAATCATTATCAACTGAGCCCAGAGATATCAAGGCTGGTCTGTTTATTAAATTTGGGTCATTGTGACGTAGGTGTCTAAGCATCCCTTTAAACAAAGGATAGGTTCTGCCCAATTTTCCCTTCAGGACAGGTGTCCTACCTTACGATAACTTTTTTCTTTTTTTGTAAACACCTTCATGCTCAAAGGAGTCATTTTACCACATTTTTTCCAAGATGTGTATGTTTTTCTTCATGAAAGATATTCGTACTCAGTTTCAAGTGTATAGTAATCATTTGGACAGGCAGCAAGATCAGAGGAAAGAGCTGCTATGTTTACTAAATGTTACAACTTAGTGAGAATATAAAGCTTAAAAAGAGCCGGGCCATGTGCTTTTAAAGCTATTCAGTAATATAATTTCTGGCTCCTGTTTCCTATGCCTCGTTTTCTCTGATTTATCCTGCCTTGGGAATATTCAGGACTCTATGGGTTTCCTTCTTCTGTGTACAGTATGGAAATTCTTAACTGGTGTTGCTTATGATGCTGGCCACACCTAATCTGTAAGTTTGGAAAATCATATAAATTAATTTGTGTGCTTTTAGCTGCAAATAAGAGAAAAGCCAACATCAAAAGGAAATTTAACTCACATGGCAATAAGTCTGGAGGTAGGTAGACACAACCAGGCTCTGGTTCTACTCTGTTTCCGTTGGCTTTTTCCTCCTTTAGCCCCAGGCTCTTCTGAAAATATGACAGTGTCTTGAGGAAGAAAAGAAGCCACTTACCTTTGGATACTTTTTGGAGTCCCTACCCTATTAGGTTTTCCCTTGACCAGAGCTAGTCACATGTCTGGTCCCCAAACCAATCAGTGGCAGGGGGAATTGGAGGACATGGTAGGTTCAGACCAGTCCAGTCAGTTGGGTTGAAAGGTTGAAAGGAATGCTGGGAGATCAACCACAATAGGGATTGTACAACCTAAGCCAATCAGTGCCATTTCTTTGTATTTAATATTTTATATCTTATCTTTTAAATTTAATGTCTTTGGGGAAAATTCAGGAAATACAAAAGTATACGAAGAAGAAAACAAAATCATCCATAATCCTATCATTCAACCCAGAATAGTTGTTAATGTTTTGGAGCATTTTCTTCAAATCTTTTAATATCTGTCTGTATGTCTAGCTCCATTTCTTTTTGTTGTATCCAATGTCCTGTGGATTGACTGCTGCTGCCAAACCAGACTAATTAGATGAAGGAGGAAATAAGCTACTCTAACCCTGACAGGCTCCAAACACCAACCTGTGGCTTAAAATTGCTCACAAGCAGCACAGGGAGCATGGAGTAGGGGAAGGCCCCAGGCCTGTGAACTTATAGTCCCTGCTTCTAGGTCCAGCTCTGGCTTTGACCTAGCATGATACTTTTGCCCTCTTTAGGTTTCCATTTTCTCTGCTCTCAAAGGTGAAAACCTCCAGCTCTGTGAGCCCCATTTTACTTGGTGGGTTTGCATATAATATTCAAAGCCATGTTGTCTTAGCTATTTAATGAGTTTTTTAAAATCAAAAAGAACATTTCTTTTTGATTTTTCTTTTCAAAAATAATAAATGTGTAGCAGAGAATATGAAGAAAAGCTATACACACAGAAAATGTGTGTGACAACCACCAGTCTCAAATAAATTCCAGCTACCTTACCTCCCAAAGACAATTTTATATCATGCAGAGTATCCCATTCCTGAGTGCTTTTAGCAGCCCAGTCTTCTGTTTTTTTTTTTTCCTGAAGGAAATACTTAGTCCGTCCTCATTTATATACTCCAAATAGCTTGGTATTGCTTTAGAGGTAAGCCTTCTTAAAAAAGTCTAGAGTCACAAATTACCCAAGACAAAGACAGTGGGTTCAGGCTGATCTTTGGCTGTGGATGGTATGTCCCAAAGTCAAAGGGCTAATTTTGACCTATTTTTACCAGTCTCCATTGTGATCTGCTATGCAAAGTTAATTTCCAGGTCCCACCTTCTATAGCTGACTTCAAATCCATCCCTGGCTGGTTTTTCCTAAGTGTTTTTGTGACTTGTTGCCCTCTCTCCCTGGTGAGAGACACCCTGGTCCTGTTGGCTTCTTACAGTGTTTTGAGCTCAAGAGTTAACCTGCACACACCATTGGTGGCTGAAGAGCCAGCTCAGGGCCACAAAGGCTAGTCATTCCATCTGCCTGCAATGAAAAGTCATGATTTTGGTCTCATTTTCCAATATGTTACTAGCTAAGGACAAGAAAGTAGACTGTATTATGGGAATTCATCTAGGGAAATCTTGAGGCTTTGACTCTTTTCTGCCAAAATCTGTACCAATAGCCAGTCTAATTAGAAACAGGGTGCATGTTCTATAAATACACCTTCAAAATCAAGTCTCCCAATACTGTCCCAAGAATACTCGCATTTTGTTCAAACTGTTGTCCTCGAGCCTTTGCCAAGACAGACATTCTGGAGTGTCCTGGAGGAAACTCTCTTGAGACTCCCTGTTGTATATGAAGACTTTTGAGCCCCTTCACCCAATCTAGGGGTGTCAAAAGATGGGAGGAAACAAGGTCTGTTTGCAAGGCTTGCTTACTGTTTTGTTTCAGAATAACTCAAGCCTGTTTGTTTTCTGACATTTACTAAGGAGCAACATGCACAGTGTTTGTATAGACAAGTGTTTTGGGGGCCGCCTTTACCGCTGTTACACTAGGGACCTCGTGCCATTGGTGATCATTGAGGAAGTGACTTTCAAATTTATGGACCCTACAGGGCTCCTGTTTCCTTGTCTTATATTCTAGACATTTCATTGTTTTTTTGGCAATCAGAGCCGAGTAAGAGTAGAGATTGTTTTTGCTTTTCATTTTTTTCATCCTCTTACTTGCTTATAGAGTTAGTTGGTTAAAAACATCCTGCTTTTAAAAATGTGTAATGGGAAAAGGGAAGGAGCAAACTGCCCAAATATGGCTTGAGGATGATAGGTACATTTTAACAAGTCATTTTTCTTCAGACTTTAGTTATTTGTATAACTAATATTTATTAGTCATCATAGTTATATACAATTGTATATATAATGTGCATATCAATATTACATAAATAATTCTCATTGTTTGGATAATTCCCTTGGTTTCTAACTAGATGTCATGGGTGATCTCCCTTAATTCACTAGACGTCCTGTTCTTAAGATTCTTTTGTTGTTGTTGTTTTGTGGGACCCTTCTCTTGTTAGTTTGGACATCTTTCATGAAAATATTCTAGCTTGATCTCTATCATTTTTTGTGGGCCGCAGGTAAGAGCTACTTTGGAAAAAGTAAGGAAGAGGATGTATGGAGACTATGATGAAATGAGGCAGAAGATCCGACAGCTCACTCGGGATCTGTCAGTAAGTCCGAATCTCAGTAACGTGGCTGTGTGGAGAGGTGGCAGAGCTTGGAACTTTTCAAGCTGGGAGGGGCTGGTACCTAAAGATGTTCGGGAGTCATATTCTAAGTGAAATGACAGAATCTTATCACAGATGGGGCTTTATTAATTAAGGGAAACCTTTAAGAGTCATCTTCTTTATATAAAACCAAAATCTATTCCTAAGAATTTACTCTACAGATAAGCTCTCACATGTATGAAATGACTTATGGATGAACTAATTTATTGTGGCATTGTTTGTAATAGTAAAAAGAATGGAACCCCAAATTCCATCGAGAAGAAGAAAGTGAATTATGTTCTATCTCTCCAATCAAATCTATTTAGTTGTAAAAAAAAAAAAAAAGCAAGTGAGCTGTTCAACAATAGGGAAAGATTTCAAAGATACAGAGAAGATAAAAAAGCAAGATGTAGGAAAATATGTATAGTTTATGACCATTTATATAAAACAGGAGGAGAAAATGAATCTACCAGGATTGTTTTGTGTGTACACAAAGGCCTGAAAGATAATCCAGATGGAAATTAACTGGCACCTGGTTGATGAGCAGGGGTGGACAGGGTGGGAACCTGGAGAGGTAGCAGTGAAGGGAAGCGTGATTTCAGTCTGTACCTTTTATACTTTTAAAATGTTTGTGCCAGGTGAGTGTGTTACCAACTCAAAATTTAGGAAATACAACTTTCTTCCAGTTCAACCAAGCTTGTGGGATTTCAAAGATATTTTTGTGATTATTAACCCAAAAGATAGGCGTCCTTGTGTATATGATGTTCCTTCCATGAGAGTTACCATCTGCAGGAGGGGGCAGTGACCACAGCCATGTCTCAGAGCCCAGATTATGGCAGGGCTGTGGACTGTCTTCTTACGTAGGACCCATGGCCAAAACCGTAGACTTGATTATCACTGGTATGTACGAGGAGGCATGTGACGTTCTCACCCTCTAGTGGAATTCAGTCTGCCAACCTGCCAGACGTTGATGACTGTCCTCAAAGGCAAAGGATTGATTTGTAATGGAAGTTTAAACAAGACTGCTCATTGCCTTCCACCACCATCTCCCACACCTTATTTTCTCTTGCTAGAACTGTCCCCGGAACTCATCTGTGCCCACAGTCTCTTTCTCCATCCCACCCCCTCACTGCAGGCAAATTAGAATCTGGTTCTGGCCTGTTGTTTCAACTCTGTCTCCTACCCCCAGGTGCACCTCCTGCTCGGTCATGCCATGCTTTTTCCTGGCCCCCACAGGTCATGCAGGGTCCACCCCTGAGCCTTCCTCAGAACCACAGCCCCTAGTCCTACTGCCTCCCTGCCTCTCTGTACCCGATCCTTGTTAAGGTCGAGCTTAGGATTAGCCTCTGAAGAAACTTTTCCAAACTCCTTAAACACACACACCCAACAAAGACAGCAGTAACAACAACCCTTAAGAACTGGATGGGCCCAAAGTTATGCTTTCTGTGGTTACTGCGAAGAGAAAGATGGCAGAAGCCATTCCAACTGGGTTCTAGTTCCTGCTGTGTGACTGTGAGCAGGTCACTTCCCTCTCTGATCCTGTTTCTTCCCTGTACAGGGCCTATGTGACTCCTGTGCAGTGAGTGCAGTTGTGAGCCTCTATGGGTGAATATGGAAATACTATCCAAAGGAAAACTATTCTTGCCTTTCTACTCTGGGTCATAGAAATGTTGGCTTTTAAGCTAAAGGTTTACTATAAATATTGTTTGAGTGGATGTAGTTACTCTTAGAAGAAAGATCCAGCCACTGAAGATTGCTGTGGGGTGTGTGGATGTTTTTTTCTTCTATTTTTTTGCTGGGTCTGGGGTTTTCATGTTTGCAAAGCAGGCGGTCTACTTCTTGAGCCACACCCCCAGTCCATTTTGTTCTGGTTATTTTGGAGATGGGGTCTCACCAACTATTTCATCAGATTGGCCTCTCTTGGCCTCTAGGATTGCAGGCATGAGCCACCCCCCGCACCCATCTGTGAATTGGTTTTAAGTGACTGTCTCTTCCATCTGTTCAGGTTTCCCATGCTCAGCAGGACTACCTAGAGAATCACATCCAAAGCCAGTCGTCTGCCCTGGATAGTTTCAATGCCATGAACTCGGCTTTGGCGTCGGACTCCATTGGTCTGCAGGTATTCAGCTGCTCCCTGTTAGATGGGAACCTTCTATTATAGGGCAGCCCAGCTTAACCAGGAGTGAGTCCTGATCCTTTGGCAGAAGGTCCTGAGCTCATTAAGGCTCCATTAAACATAGCATAGTAAAGACTGGTCCAGGTAGACCCTGAGGGAAGTCAGAGGAAATGTTTCCAAGCTGAGATACCAATCCTCTGGTTTGCCCGCATTACAGTGGGAGGTATAGATTCTGAGTTCAGGGCTGTACATATCACTTGCTTCATCAGACACCCGAGTGGTCCTCAGTGTTCTTGAATGACACAATACATGTTGTCCTGGTGATTAGGAAGTTCCACCAAATCACAGAAAAGACAGACATAACCAGACAGTCTCTGCTCTTTCATGGCAAGTGGCTTCCAAATTAAACCCTTTATCTTAATTTAGAAGCTTATTTTGCATTAGAAAGAAATATGAATATTCCAAAGAATGTCTTATGCTAGCAGACAGAGAAACAGAAAGACCCAGTATCCTACATCTGGAGAATGCATGCCGCCAACTTACTCAGGGACCCATCTCTGGATAAGTTTGATTTGCCAGGAGTTCACCATTAAAATGCTTCTCCTTCTTGCTCTTCCAACCAAGTGGGCCCCTACCCAGCATGCAAGCTGACTTGAAGATATTCAAAACAAAGCATCATATTTACTCAAAATAGCTGTCCTTGGCCTTACTTTCCACGTACATAAACAGTAGTTTCTGCCTCTCCTCCAACTTTAATCTTTTTACTGTCCTTTTAAAAGTCCCAAAAACTATTTCAAATCCTTTCTGGTCCTATATAAATAATCGAGTGGCTACACAAACAGATTTTCACATCAGGCCTCTCCACTTCCTGTAGAGCCTAGCATTCTCTAAGCAACATCTGAGAGAGCAGCCGTGCCAACAAAGCTCGGCCACTATCCAGCAGTGGTCTGGGTGGGCCTCATGTTTGGGTTTGTCTGGGATGCCCGTTTCTGGTGGGGCCTCTGAGTCCCATGTTTTTCCTGGATCTCTTTTGTATATACCAGTTTTCCCCTGGCCTCAGGCCAGCCTGCACTTTGACTCTGGTTTATTCAGAAGTCTTTGTCTTCCCTTCCTTCTGTCATCAAGGGGGCTTACCAAGGCCCCCTTTCCTTCCCTCTTGGATGCTATCTCACTCCCAGCCCACCAGGAAGGGCTTCTCCTCACCTGCATCCAGACTTGGTTGGTGTCTCTGACTATTCTTCCAAGAAAAAAAATACTTTCAGGCAAATTCGCCTGACTTGCTATCTGGCTGACACTTCAAGTATTGTATCTTAGAGGCCAGCTGTGAGAATAGAGTCAGCCCTAACCCTGAGACCAGCACTCTTTTCTAGTTATTATCCAGTCTCTCCAGTCTGGATGGCCTATGGGGCCTTATAACTAGGAGTCTGAAGGTCACTGACTTGTTATTTATGCAAGATCCCAAGCTCTTCCACTTGCCCATCATCCACTTCCACCACCCATTCCATCTATTGAATAATGAAGAGAAACAGAAGAAGAGAACCAGCGAGACTCCTTGTAATTGAGTATATACACAGAAAAAAAAATATCAGAAGCTAAGACAAAGAACTTGTATAGCAAAGAAAATGTCTACCAGACCACTTTGTCATGATAGCTAAGAGAGAGCAATGAGGAAAAATAGAACCAAGGAGGGTCTAGCCAGATAGGCGGAAGAGGGACACATGAGATCAGAGAATATACAATAGGTCCGAACTTATGGACCCGTGTGGAACCAGCGAAGGAGAATATGAACGAAAAGAAACGAGAATAGGATGGAGAAGGCAAGGGCTTATAACAAAAGTCATAAAAGAACTCCTCGAGCCAGATGTATCGATGATATTTCACAAGGCCTATCAACAGATGGAACTTATAAACTTTAAATATAATAGTAAATTAAACCTCCAATTACATTAATACCAATATAAAACTGACAATACAACTAAAGAATATAAGACAGAGAGGCTTATTATTGATCAACAAAGAATGAAAGAGGCTAAGAGAATGGAAAACAATAATAACAAAGAGGACCAACCCATCTCATAGAAGGGGAAGAGAAAAACAGGTAAGTATACAGAAACCACGTAAGTTACAACGCACCAAGGATATACGAAATACTAATCATAATATGGAGCTGGAAAAGAATAAACATTAGGGACGAAAGAGATGGACTAGAAAATGATGCCATAGAATAACAACTCAGTGTTTACCAGTGGTGGAATGTCTGGAAGAATTTAAATGGAAGCCAAATTACTACTCTAGGAAGAAGGAGAAAATTAAGCAAAGCAGAAACTGAGAGAAATAAAAATAAAAGCAAACACATATTAAATTTAAACAATATGTTGCTCCAAAAGAAGAAGGGATGCGCCTATTATGGCAGGCTACATTGACACTGTGTTCAGAGCAACTTATTAAAATCACCAAAACAATACCATTCAAACTTAGAGCACTTGTATAATCATCTAACTTGTCCTCTGCCCCAACTGAGGGAAGGAAGACACTTGGAGGACAAAATGGGAGAAGGAGGCCTTTGACCTGTTAAAATCACCATAACCTAGACAGGCAGTCTAGAAGTTATAGAAGTTGACGTCACTTTTGAAGGAAAAGAGAAAAAAAGGGAATATCTCTTTTCTATGAAACTCGCATTTTGTTTCCTGATTAGTTGCAGGAAGATAGAAAATATAGAAAAAAAAACAAAGAAGAAGAAAATAAATATACATACGAGTTTTTATATATATTAGTAGTAGAAAATGGTAAATATTTGGATTATGGATTTAATTAACTAGGACACATTGACTACCATATCCACTGAACTACTTTCAAACCTGGTTTGTGTTTAGTATATATGATAATATATATATCCCTACTGGATCGACAGTGACATAGGTATTTACGCAAGTTATAATTCTTGGGCACGACAAATATCTGTCTCCCTGAAGAGCAAGTGGCACGAGTGCATAGGTTGGACAACAATCCGCCACCTGATGTAGCACTGTGAGGGAGTCTTCATAGGAAAACCACCCCACGATCCCTATTACAGAAACACAAACAACCACCTACAAAACAAAAAACAAACCCCAAAAAAAAGAAGGGGGTGGCACTACTCTAGAGACACACTGTGCAGGAGCCTAATGCCTCCCTCACCACGCGAATTAAGCTCAGAACAAAGATAGGGCAGCATGCAAATGTAAGCTCTGACAAAGAGAGAATACCCCAGGACAACACAGACCAATCCTCAGCCAACATCGTGCAACAATGACATCGACGGCCATGTTTTTTTACCACGTTTTCTCTGATCATCTGAATAGGAAAAGCACTTGTGACGATGATATCCAACTTCAAGGCAAACACAAAGCAAAATCAAGATCCAAAATTAAAGCACAATTCAAAATGACAAACAGGAACCGTAATT